TCGCTTCGGAGACGGATCAGCTTCTGATTGATGGAGGTAAGTCAGAGTTTCTTCAATTGAACTTCCGCTTCATAATCTACTAAGTATTGGACACTTTTGAGTTAAAACATTTAGACTGATAATTTTCTCTTTGGTGTAAAATAGTATTTCAGTCCTGTAGAATAGAGAACACCGTCTCACACTGTGTTAGATGAGCTACTGACTAACCATTGATCACAGCAGGAATTGTGGGACAAATAGCCAGAAAGCTGCTTTTAAGTTTTCTGATGTCATAGCATTTAAAGAGAGGATGAAATAGCCTAAAACTGTAGGTGCTTTTTTTTTGTTTTGTTTTTTTTTTACTTGCTTTTTTCTATTTTATTTTTGTACATTATTTTTTTTTTTTTCAAGTTAGAGCCCTATTATTTGCACACACACAAAAAAGATCTTAACTACATTAAATATTGGGTTTTATCATCTATAATCTTAGGTCACCATGAAATTATGGAAGCCATTTGCTGTAAATGAGCAATGGTGTGCAGAAGAAGAAAAACAAATTAATGTTGAATAATTGGACAAAGTTTAAGGGGAACCATTTTAACTGAAAACACACAGCAAAATAGCACAAGAATAAGCCTTGATGTTAAAGATACTAAACTCAAATAATGAAGCAAATTGAGAACACTTTAATGTATGATCAGTTAAACATTATCCTGTCTTTGTCGCATATAGATAACTCATGGAGAACTGGGTCCTATCAGGATAAAACAGCTACAACATAGTGATTAATATCTTCCTGACTCCTTGATTCTATTCATTTAAGCCACTTGACTGTTTCTTACAGTTATGAAATGAAAATCTATCCATTCATTTAGCCTCACTTGGAGGTTCTTTCCTATTCCTGCTAAAGGGCAGTTTTCCTTTCAGCTATACATGCTCATTAAGGAGGTGTCAATTCTGCAGGTCATTGGCTGAATGCCATCTACTGGGTTTCCTAGATAGAAAACGCTTTAAGAAATCTGCCTGGACGATTTAATTGTATTGGCTTTGTAAAGTTCCCTGGAATGACACATGTTGTAAAATGACAACTAATTTTGATATGAAACTGATTTGACCTAACCTTTGGCATTGGTAACATGTACCACATCACTTCAAAGGAATGAGCTCCTGCTTTAACAACTGGCATGTTGCCTCAATTCCTGAATTTTAGCTTATAAAGTGGAGTGGAAACTTCTGTGTGTGTTTATATCTTTATATAATATTTTGATTTTTTTCCCCATTTGTTTGACTTAGAGGCATTCTTCAATAAATTAAAAAAAATCATTTTCCCCCCCCCCAAAAAAGAGGCTGCTAACTTCCTACAGATTTTCAATAAAAACAGCACAGTAGGAATGTTAGTTTGCACTTAATGCAAAGTGATGGCCAAGAAAACCATGTCTCAGCAGGATTTATTTTTTTAAGAGTGCATTTAAAAAATATAATCCTAAACTTTCCCCCATCGTCCGATTTTCAGTGTCTTATCATTTGACGGTATGTGATAGATCAACACAAGGGAGTGCAATTTTGAAGTGAAAGGAAAATGGTTTTCTGTAAAGGGAAAACAGTCAAAAGGCATTAAAGGGAGCACAAAGACCAAAAAACACAGCTGGCTAGGGGTATAACATCGCTGATAATTGTGACAGAAAAACTGAATTTTTTCCATTTTATAAATTTCAGATTAATTAATCTAATTGGATGTGAATCATATTGTGTCTGACTTTGTGATATCAGCAGTCACTGTATCACCATCGAAGATAAATCAATATAATCTCCCCATTTTTATCTGGTTATCTAAAACCCTACAGTCAACTTTTCAACAAAAGTTAATGGGGAATTTGGGTTCTGAAATGGGATTGGGTTCTAAAACAATATCTTAAGTTTTGAAATTTTCATTTTATTTCACTCTGTCATTTTAAAGTAATACAATAAAAAAAAAATTGCCTGAAAAACTACCCAGACATGGCCAGGAAAGGAGACAATTAATCAAAGACGCAGCCAATAGGAAAATAATATCCAAATTCAATCCCAAAAAGATACAGTCAAATTTGTAGTTAGACGATAAAATATATATGAATATGTCCAAAGGCTTTGATTGAATACTACCACTATAAATAAACTGTATAATTCATCCTGCAGGTTTTGATAAACTTTTCTGATTTGGTGGGTCTGTTTCAAGATTTAAATTGAGTCCAATGAATGGATGTTTTACGATATTACAAAACCTCAGCAAGACAATCTCCTGTTAATTACTGGTTACAGTCACAGGTTAATAAAATCTCATTGAAGATAGGGCTGTCACCTGCTGCGGTTGGGTCAGGACCCCCCTCTGAATGCTGGTGGCCAACTGAGAACTAAGGGGCCAACATATGGTGCAGAGGCTTATGGGATTACTCAATTAACAAGGTGACTTGGAGAGCTACTAATCTTCAAATTGTTGCAAAGGAATATGAACTCAGAGTAGGGTAAAGAGTGGCTGTTTCTTTTAAGGTTTTCTAACCCAATTGAAAAGCAACCTTCTTTGAGTCATTTCTAAAATGTAGAGCTGCTGCAGTCCCAGATTCTGGATGCAGCTCCAACAACACTCTTTACGCATACCTCAAAACGTCAGGAAAACTAACCACAGTCCATTTGATTCTGACAACATGTAGGTGTGCTAATTGTAATCATCCTGACACAAAGTGAGCCACAGGCATAAACAGCACCTTTAAACTTAGTGCGCTGCTGTGCGCGCGGAGCTGGAGGCGCGCATGGATGGACGTCACGCAAAAATCAGCATCAGCAGCAAATCAGAGAGTGGATTATTCTCACCAAAAGTAGAGCATTTGATTTAAATAAACATGGGAGGTAAAGGGAGAACTATTTTAGTCGTGAAAAGTCCATAACCCTGCTGATTTGCAGCAGATTTTCTTGCTGCTGAGGGTCGATTATGCCAAAGGAGGATGCCTTACCGTGTGGAAACGCGTTGGGTTGCACCGCGTGCAGGAAGGCGCGCACCAGCTGGAACAGGATCCCTATGGGTCCGGGTTCGTAATGGGCCAGGGTCTCATAAACTCCCGCAGGCACGTAGCCGAAATCCAACTTTCCCGGAGGCGGTAGCCTCCGTTGCTCCGTCTCCTGCTGGAGTTCACCGGACGCCCACAGAAGCGACAGCAGCAGCAGTGTCCCGGGTTTCCACATCGTTTCTAAAGCGAACCTCGATCTACCCTCAGATTGCACACAGGTACTTCAACTGGACGATCACTGACAGATTTGTGTTTCTCCACAAACAGAAGGGAGATTTTCGACTTAAAGCGCTTCAACGGATGGACCGCAGCTCTTTAAGTTCTGCTGCCCACGGGTGTACGCGCTGTGAGCATCCTACCCCACGGTCCGGGGTTCCCTGTCGGCTGATAACCGACTGATCTTGTCTCCACCGTATCCAGTCTCCTGTGCGTTCAGTTCCACAGAGACGTGCGCTCCTGTCGCTTCTACTCCAGTATCTGCGCGCAAAGATGCGCTGCGTCACAGGAGCGGGCGGGGGTGTGAGCTGGACAGATAATCCACGGAGAGAGAAGCGCTCCTCCTGCCGGGAAAAAAGAGGGTGGATGAAGGATGTCATTCCAGCAAGATGAAATTAAATTTACTTTTATGCCCAATAGGCTAAGTCTATTTATTTACTTAAACGTATAACAGTACATACCTAGCTCTGAAAACATGCACCTGCTGCAGGATGAAGAGCAAAATTAATGCAATCATACTTGTAATTACAACATTTTTAATGCAGAGGCATAATTGCATGGACTAGTTAGCTGTAATATTTAGTGAGATGTAATATCTTAAGTTTAATCAAACTTTTATCATATTAATTGACTCTTAACTTTCCCTTCCTACAGCAGATTTTTTATTTTTTATTTAAGGAATCAATGGAGATTATTGGAGACACAGTGGTAATGCAAGAAGTATATCTTAAAAATCAAATGTAATCATAATTATTATGAATATTCCAGTTAAATATTTTTGTCTGAAAACCCTGCAGCCTTATGCTTGATACAAGTCTTGGCATGATGTATATCTGTGTGCTCTGCTCACTTTTTAGGGTTACCCACTACAATCATCTGGAAATGAGGATAAACTTTAACTACATGATAAATCTACTTAAAAAATATCAGGGTTAACTCTTAAAATGTCCATAAAATGATCTGGATTATCTAAAAACAATATAAATATATATATAAAAAAAAGAATGAACTTTTTTAAAAGCCTTTCATCCTATTAATATTCAATTCAATGTATTTAGAGGCGCCAGTTTGCAGCACGTCATCTCAAGGCATTTTACAGACAATTCAATCAGATCTCACAGGCAGATTGGTCAAACATTTTCTGATTGCATCCAGTCATAAACCTTAGAGACAGTAGATTTTGGTTTGCATTGTGTTGTTGACTCTACAGCAATCCCTCCCATAAAGCATGCATGAATGGTGGGATAGTGTAGAGGAAAAACTCCCTTTTAACAGAAATAAATCTGCAGAACCAGCTGCAGTGAGAGTGGTCTTCTGCTCAGGCTGACTGGGGTTCAAGGAGAGAGAAGCAGAAGTACAACAGGAGGATAAATATTTTCCATGTTATAAAAGGTCATGGAAACTGTCTTAGCAAGTATAACTTTCTAGAAGCTAAAACAGACACCATTGGTTAAGAAAAATATTTGCCTCCAACCTATAAGTCTAGAGTATATAGCTCTATAGTTGATAATTTTAACCTTTTACTTTTCACATGGGGTAGCAAAAAGCATAGGAAGTGAAATTACATTATTGCATACAAATTATTATTGATATTATTATATTAGATTATCCTCAGCACTAAAAAAATGTTGAATTTTACAATTTCTGAACAAAAGACTGCACCTAGTTTATTTTAATTGGGAGACCAGGGACAATTGCAACAAGGGAGTGGTTGCAACATTTCATATAAAAAAAGAAGCTAAAGTAATATCACCCAGACTGCACATGGAAAAATTGGAAAATGTAAAAAAAAAAAAAAAAAAAAAGGCCCCAAAAATTGCATATTGAAATTGCTCAACTTCCTAAAAAAGATCAACAACACAAATATTTAATTTAATATTTTTGTGATCAAGCTCAAACCTACATTATTTAAAGAAGTGAGAGGTTTAAATTGAATTTATATGGTTAGCAGGTATAAAGATCACCTAATTTAGCTAGAGCATGAGGTTTTATCATGGCTGACAGGAAGGGTAACGCCTATAATAACTGTTATATCTGTCTCCTTGGGGTATGTGTGTCTGTTTCCATGTCTTATTATTCAGATTATATAGACATAAATACATAAATATACATTCAAATATATATATAAATATATGTCTATGATCAGAGGTGACAAAAGTATTAATGTTTATTGCTCAAGTAGATGTATAAATCCTAATGTTTAAAAATACTTTTGTTGAAGTGTAGAGTATCAATGTAAGCTTTTTACTCAAGTAAAAGTGTAAAAGTACCATTTTAAACCTAGCCAAAGTATAAACGTGAATTTCATGCAGGAAAAAAAAAATTAAGAACAAATGCTTTAAATTTTTTAATCTATTAAAGAAATATTTTTCTAAAATTCTGGATGAAAATTCCCTTAAAGTTAAATTTCTTAATTTTATAACTAATGGAAATAGTTTCAAATTTATCTTTGTATAGTGAACAACAAGTTGGTGCAGGATCGAGTTAAACCAGAAAAAAAATTGTCTGGATTAAACAAATCATTTTGACTTTTTGTTAATGAAAATGAAAAAAACTAACCACACTATTTTTACAATGTAATGAGTAGAAAGTAGAGATAACTGCAAAAAAATAAAAAATAAAAAAAATGTAAGGGGTAGAAGTAAGAAGTTGTCCTGAAAATAATTATTCCAGTCAAGTTTAGATAGCCAAAATTTCTACTTAAGGTAGCAAAGTTTTTGTTATGAGATACCTCTGTCAATGGTGCAGATATATTGAACAGATGCATTAAACTTTTATTTAACACTTAAATATAATATAATTCAGTAGATTAATGGTTAATAATGGCAGTTTTATAGTAAGTACAGGGCTGGCCCACGGGGAAGTCCCTCAGTTTGCTTATGGCTCCAGGAACTGATCTCGGTTACAGTAAGCATGTACTATAGTCATACTTTCTACAGTTGTGGTTTTCCAAATTTGTTCCTAGATTTTTTCATAGGTACATTTAGCATAATGGATGTATGTACTGACAAGGTACAAAATTAAAGTTAATTTGCTTACAGATTGTTTCAGTGTTCCAATGTAACTGAGAACCTCTGTATTTTAGAATATTTTGAATCTTTGTCATCTGCATATAAGATTTACTCATTTAGACAAATATAATAGTTAACCGATCAAAGCCGATAAAGCTTTAATATTATGATAACATATTCAAAAAGTATTAATGCAGCATATAACAATACAACATGTCAACATTAAAAACCTGTGTTTAGAGTTGCCTTTTGTTGTCTTTGTAGTCCGATTTTCCCCATCTGCCATTATGCCACAGCAATGTACTTCTTTCTTTTTTGTTTTAGTCATGAACAGTACTTTGATTTGTCTCATTGCTGATATGTGCTATAGAAATAAACTTGGCTTACATATTGAAGAAAAACTGTGCCACAACACCATGTTTTATCGAAGTCGCTATTTAAATAGCTTTATGTAGTTAAAGTATGTATTTCCAGAAATGGTCTTCACTCTGTTTATCTAGAATGCATTTTGCATACCTTTTAATTTTCAGGTTGCAAACAGATGAAACTGGACCTGTGCTGGGAGCTGACATACCAGTGTGATTGCTGATGTGGCGCTCAGTTAAGCTCTTTTCAGGTTTTTGCAATACAATAACATCTTTGTTCTGCATGTGGAGCACGGCAGGCCTTGGTACAGGCTCAGAAACATTTGATAGTTGACCATGATCACATTTCTCCATAGATAACAAACCTAATAAGACCTGGGGAATGGCCTAGCTGTACTGATATATGATATGTATCATTTTCTGGGTTGGGACAGATCTTTGCAGCGAAAGTCCAGATATTGTCTATATATAAAAAAAAAAAAAAAAAAAGCACCTGCTTCAATAATGCCATTAATACATATTTTAAAGTTTCTTATAAAAGGTTTTAGTTTCAGACTTTGAACTAAACTACTGGTGCTGTTTCATTAAACCTTGTCTATATAACCCAGAACTGTCTACACCTGTCGTCCACTCTCTACTGTACAGGAAGCTGGAACAGGGCTGAAGCTTGTCTCAGCTCTCGCCAGTGTAAGGAGCTTATCCCTCTAAGAATGTCTGTGCAGATTTATTCTGCCTGACCTCCGCTCCCAAACAGACAATGCACAGGTAAAGGTGAGGTCATCAACCGCTATGGGAAGTGGCAAACAAAACAATATGTGGTGGCTTACTTTTGGAATCTGTTTTGCCGTAAGGATGGGAGTTTCACTGATTTCAAACAATAAGTGAAACTTTAGAGTGATTTTACTTCCTGCATTAAACACTTGGACCATGATTCACTTTTATACATTTTTAAAAGAATGTTTCCGAGTGTGCCTTTGAATATATTTTGTATTTCTTTTAATTAATGTTAGATGTGGCACTGTCATTACAAGCATGCTGTGCATGAATTTCTCTGTATTGCTGAATAGTCAACGACAAAATGCAAGCAAATTTTGTCGCCACAAGCTCATCCAAATCAAGGACTGGATGCAATCAGTTGCTTTTCCATGATAGAAAACTTTGAACCAATCTGACTGTATGGTCTCCTTGAATTGTCTGTGTAAACTGCCTTGACATGACACGCTGTCTGAATTTGCGCTATATACATAAAAATAAGCCTGATAAACCAGACTAAATGTGTAATAAAAAAAAAAATCGCAGGCAAAAATGATTTTGGCCTCTGGCAGGTGGGGCTAGTTTATTAGGCTACATAAAAAAATCACTTTATTTGAGTTTTGGACTCTTCCTTCCTCCGATTAAGGTCATAGTTTGCTGGATAGATATGTTGCAGATAATTTGTAAGGTGTTATTCTTTCACGTTTGTGGAAGACTGAAAAATACAATAATTTAAATATAATTGCAAAATGAGGATAATTGAAGAATTGTAAGACTACAAGAATAAACTAGCCTCCATCCATTCTTCTTCTCCCACTTAGTCCTTGTGAGGTTCCTCGGCAGTCTACGGGCGAGAGGCGCGGTACACCTTGGATAGGTCGCAGTCACAGGGCAACACATAGACACACAAAGACATATAATCATGCACAAACGCACTGTTAGGTTAAATAGCCATTTAGAAGCGCCATTTAACCTAACAGTCTTATTTTTGGACTGTGGGAGGAAGAGATAGTACCTGGAGAGAACCGGATAAAGAATGCATTGGGAAAAGATGCAAACTCCATGCAGAGAGATCCTGGCCTTGGAATCGAACCCAGAACCTTCTTGCTACAAGGCAACATTGTTACAAACTATGCAGCTCTGAGAAAAAAAAATAAAAGCTTGCAAGAAAATGATTTAAGAATCAAGAGATTGTCTAGATGGAGGCTTAATTCCATGAAGAAAAAAAATATTTGTCTAAATGAGAAAGATGAGAACATAGATTCATTTGATTATCAGAATCAAAGTGAGTTAAGGCAAACATTCAAACCACCACGAGAAAAACTTAAAAAATGAAAATGGAGGTTTTGGAATAGCATTTCCAGAGTCTAGAGTTACATTTGGCAAAGCAGGTAGTAAAACATTGATAAGATTCATAGACACTTTTCAGGGCAGGAATAACATGGATTTGAAGTTACAGTAAGATGTGGGATGCAAATAGACTCGTAATAAAGACTAAATGTCAAAGTGGACTCATAATGCACACCAACAAAGGATTAACTTAAGACTCGATAATAGATTTATTTTGCCATTAGTTGAACAGCATGCATGTTTTAAAAATGATTATGAACTCATTTGTACAGTAATAAATCTTCTGCTGGTCCTACATGATGTGTAACAACATGTTGCCCATCTGGAAAAAAATCTTCCAGTGTAAAACACATCATGAAGCTTGAATGCCAAAATGCCCTGTTAATCAGCAGCTCAAAAACCTCTGTGATGTCACCATGGTAACACTCCTTAGAAGTCTCATACAGCAGTAAAGTGCAGCTTTAAATCCTTTAACATGAAGCATCCCAACGAGAAGCCAATTGCTGTTGAAAATACTGACTTGTGTTGATTTATGGCATAAGTGACATTGTTCAGTAGGAAGAATGGCCTACCTTACTGGAATGGTACAGCAGTTTGAGACGAGTTGATGCCGAAACTCAGGGTAATAGTTCTGCTCAGAACCAAGGCAGATATTTCAAGGTCTAGCTTTCAAAATGTCAGAATATTAAAGTTTAGAATTATAATGTAACTAACTAGCAAAAGAGAGCTAAAATATATGTATAGATAAGACTATTTTTTCTTTTTGGCTCCTTTGGCCTTTAATTAGGACTTTATAAACCTAACCCTTGCAAGCAAGATCATTTGTAATGAAAGGGCCTTATTTTTGGCTTTGTGGTTGGGAAGATGTTTGCGACTTCCCCCCTGCCCAGATTTGGTAAGAGTTTGATTTATCAGTTAACCCTGCTAAAACCAATACTGCAATTGGCTGGACACTCAACATGGGAGGCAGGTACCCAATAAGCCTAAAGATTTGTACCGACTGTCCCTCCCTTTTACAAACACTCTCTACATGAGGCTTTCCAGATGGAAATATGTAGTTCAATTTGAATTCTACACGGTTTCAATCTGGCTCTTACCACATAACTTTATTTGTGATATTTTTGAAAGTATGCAGACAGGAAATGGGAGCAGAGAAAGGCTGTGAAGGTAACCAGGCCACAACTTGAACCTCTAAAAGACGCGTTAAGGACCAAAGCCTCTGCTCCACCACTGCATAATAACCCAAGTATTCAATGTTTACCTGCAACTGACAGCTTTTTCTGTACATAGCTAAACACAGAAATAATACTTACTTTCTTAAAACTTATAAGGTTCTTTGCTAATTTAAGGTCTGACATTTTAAATCAAAATACTAGCAAGTGTTTATAAAATAGTCACAAAAACTAATTTTTTTTTTAAAGTTTCATTATATTTCATCATTTGCCTTTTGTTCAGAATACACGCTTTTAAGTCATATTGATGGTTCTCATAATCCCTTCTTCTCTTTAGCTTGATTGATTTATTATGTAGTGTAAACAGAATGAATGTTAATCACTGTGGGATCCTGGTCACTGAGTGAAATGCGCTACACCCATAAATGGTTCACAAACAGTCTGTTGTTTCTGATTAAAGTTTACTCCTTCAGCAGACATGAGCTCTCACCACTAGAAAAGAAAACAACAAAAATATGAAGGTTATATTTTCTTTAGGAAGAACAAACTGTTAATGCCAAAACATCTGTACAGAATTTAGGTCAAGACTTTATCTAGGTCACCCCAAAAACGGTACTTTGTTTACTTATTTATTTCTCTTACGTTAAACATGGGTGGACTTGCTGGTATGTTAGAAGGCATTTACTGATTTTCACATAATTCCATATCTCAGATTTAACTGGATTATTGTGGTGAATCATAGATTATTTATCAATTAACAAAGCAGGCTATTCGTTCCTCCAAAGTGCTGGGTTATTTCCCTTTAGCGGCTACATCTACATAAAAGCTGTAGCTCACAGTCACTCTTTCCCCAGAATTATAAAAAAAAATGTTTACACTCACCATTTTAAAAACAAACAGCTTTTATTATTTTAAAAAGGCAAATTTTACATAATCAAAGTATGAATTAAATATTAATCCATACTGATGAAAAATAGCAGGCAGTGTATGGGACATAAAAACACTCTAGTTCCATAAGTTCTGTTGACCTCTGCTTCGGCCTGCCTTTGGTTCGGCTGCCTTTCGCTGTAAACAAAGCAAAGAGTTTGGACCACACCTAACAAAACAAGGGGGACTTCCTGCCATCTGTTAGAACCCTGCAATGGTTTCTGCAATCACATTTCACACCCAAAAATTTATAATAATTTACAGTTCCCCAAATAGAACCATATTCCTTATTATAAGGACAATATAAAAAGATGGTTGCCAATGTTTTTAACTTGGAAGGTTTGTTTCTTTGTTTCTATATATATATATATATATATATATATATATAAATTTTTGCTTAAAAGAATTACAGTAATTGGAGTATAAAATACAAAATCTCGCATTTTGATATGGTATTTTCAGAACGTTTGAAACCAAACTTTTCTAGTCAGATGAAAATCCTTGTTTGACTCCCTTCATAGAAATATCACGAAGCTCTGATTTTTTATATTGTCCTTACATTTAATTATAAAAAAACAATATTTTAATATACTTTATATTTTATTAATATACAGTATATTAAATAAAAAAGTTAACAATAACTTCTGTCAGTCAAATCACTGGTTTTAAAGCACACATGCAGGAAAGGCCTTCTGTTGTGGACATATGACTTCCATCTTTCTCAGATGTTCCTGTAAACATCAGCAGAGTCTGATGTGAAACATAACTGGATATAAACATCTTATGGTCCATCAGTGCAAACAATCGAGACCAGAGGAAATCAAAGTAAACTTTGTACATTCCAGTGAGGGCACCTCAGTCAACCATACCCTGTCTTCATATAGAGATTTTAATTTTAACAATATTGAAGGATTTTCACTTTTTACATAAAGAGTGTTGATATAGATGTACCAAAAGTGAAGATAATGTGCAGACCTGAGCCTCTGCTCTATATCTGTTGAGTAAGGATGGGTTTCTTTACTGAAACGTCAGTATGTCGGCGAAGATGTCAATCATAATCTAACAACGGTGTAAACAAAATGCTCCGAGGCATTTTAAAAGAAAATATGTTGTTTTCTTTGTGCCATTTGTGATGTCACAAAAAAGTTTCATTTTGCATTTCAATGTCTTAAAAAAAAAGCATAAGGTCATGTTTTCTTCCTCACAGATGCTTTGGTGTCTATATTTTCTTTAATCTTGCGTAATTATTTTTTTTAATTATTCACAATAAAACAGACAACATGCTGGCTGAAATGTGAAGAAAACATTTTCCTGCTTTCCAGTTTGATCAATCTCTGAAAGAATTAAAGTCTGTCTTCAAAGCCAATATATTGATGAAAGTTCAGCATCTGTTTTCTTATAAAAAAATAACATATTCTGCCGCTTGAGTTTGTTTTCTGGCTGCTCACAGACATTTGTCTCCTTCTGGTCCCACAGCTGCTCAATCAGGAAGTGCTTGTGTGCTGTCACACTCACACATATGCTGTCGCTTTCTTTCACTCACACAGACACCCATAAAATCACTGGTACGCACACATCATTGGCAGACCATCCTGACAACTCGCCTGCCACACTCACACTTTGTCTCCCGCTGTTTATCAGACACCTGAAGCTTTTCCTGTCAAATGTCTCGACTTCATCAAGCACAGCAGAATTGTCTGACGCTGAGTCCCTGTTAACAATAACTTAATGTATTGCCAATAAATACTCTGCTTTCAGCTTGAAGCCTTCGCTCTCCATTATACCTGAGTGGTTACATCTCAGCTACATCAGTGATGCTGCTGATCAGTCGATTCTGTTGCCACAGATCGTGAAGCGGTCAATCTCCAGCAGGTCTTTTTTGGGAGCCCTCTGGTTCGTTTCTGAGGCTTCGTCTGGTTCCTCCTCCTTTAAGGATGAAGCTATTGGTGGCTCAACATCAGACTGAGGTTCTGTAATCAAAGAGGAGCTCGCTGCTGCTGCAGGTGAAGCGATGGTGGTTGAGGAAGGAAACAGGTCAGGCCGTCGGGATGGCTGAGTGGTCACAGATGAGGAGGAGGCTGGTGAGGTGAAGGGTGTGGCAGGATTGGGATCGATGCTGGATTCACCTGAATGATGAAGCATGCAGATATTTAAAAATGTTGTTTCTCTTAAAGTATATTTTTTTTTATGTTACTTTTAGAAGACAAATTCATGTTGTATTAAGAGACTGTCTTTTATCTTAATGCTAAAAAACTGAATGCAAGCTGTAATGATTTTTTTTTAAGAATTAAAAAATTGCAATGGACATAGCCATCAGCTGACTTTGTACAGGGTTTTTGTTGCTAGGCAACAAAGGCAGAATCCAGCATGTAAATGCATCTGCCAACTTGTTCTCAATAAGGCAATTTAGTGCTATTATGGTGGCTTTATCTACCAATTACACAAAAAAATGGATATTAATAAACCAAACTGCTGCAGCTTACAGCACCTGCCTTAAGATTCAGTGTCCTTCAAGACTCTAGCTATAGCTAAAAGATTAAAAGTTTAATCTTTACAAATCAGTGAGATTAAAGCCTTTCATTTACAAACAAATAAAGCATAAATTTTTTATGTTTTAGCAGATATAATGACTATTAAATTAATACGTCCGGCCACCCAGAGACTTAGAGTGAAAATTAAACCAATTAAAAACAAGCCTGGCATAGATAAAGCAATTTTTCCACAACTTCATTCAAATCCACCAATATGGCTGATATACCATAATGCAGTACAGAGGAAAATAATGGAAATTATACAGAAAACTGAGTGTTCTATAAAACATAGAACAGCAATGGTCTCATTATAAAGAACTGTGTTTTGTTGAAAGGCAACACTGCAAGAGCTATTTCATTCTGAGAGCACCGGGGGCCAAACATTAGGAAAATCAATCCCAGAATAAACAGAATATTTTATATCTGAAGGAACTGAACAAAACTGCACTGATAATTAAGAGGATTGGCAGGGGGACCAATGCCTCCATTCCGGGTGTTTTAGCTTCAAAGCCTCCTGTTCTCATGGCAGACATTGATCTACTTACAATGGGCTCTATGCACAGCTCCACTACTTCCTGAATTTAATGCAGCTCCTTTGTTTCCTGTCTTTCATTACTGGACGAACTGATTAATCCAGGTGTGTCTGGCCAGTTACTTAGGTCATACACACCTGGATTAATCAGTGCATCCAATCATGAAAGACAGGAAACAAAGGAGCTGCATTAAATTCAGGAAGTAGTGGAGCTGTGCATAGAGCCTATTAGATGAACTAACATATAATCATTTGGAATAAAATATGCTGAAGAAAATTGTTTTGCAGTGACTCTAGTGCACTGCACAATAATTATTATGATTAATAAAGACACAAGATTACTCCAGTCTGGAACTACAGGTAGCTATACCAGGCATTGTGCAGACAAGGAGGATGGTTTTAAAGCACAAAAGTAAGAAAATGGTAGAAAAATCAAAGAAATTGATAAATGTAAAACATTATTTCAAATGTTAAAAAATGTCCTTGTTTACCTGAGGGTTTGGCGCATCTACGTAGGTCAGCCTTGCTTGGGCTCTTTGCTGAGGAGGACGGAGCGGTTGATGGCCTCTCAAACAGTTTGTCCTCCATGTTGGCTCTCTTGACGTACACACAAGACTTCCCCAGCAGCACAATACTGTTTAAAACTTTCAGTGTCACCATCCTGCAATTAGAGCAAAGATGAAAAGAAGAAAATAATCAATCCTATCGTCTTTCATGTGCACAAAATAAATTTTCAAGAAGTTTGAAAAGATATTAAGGTCTTCATATAAAAAGATTAAGCAGAGCAGGTTTTTGGAATTAGGGTTAATAATCTATTTTATAGATTTCAATAATGATCAGTTTCACTGAAATTGTCAAACCAATGAGTAAATATGTTTCTAATTGGAAGCAAAGGTTCCTTGAATTTATCTTCTTATGTTCACAGGATAATCTCAATGGATTTAAATTTGATTTAAAAGCGTATTAATTAGACACCACAATTCAACCTGGAGAGACTCACAGGGAAAATATGCACATAGTGAATATTAAATTTACTTATTCAAGTAACAGAATCATTGTCTTCAAAAAAACAGCTGACTGCAAGGACTATTGGCTCTTTACAATGCCTCGTACTGAGCATGCATGTAGTGACAGTGGAGAGGAAAACTCCCTTTTAACAGGAAGAAACCTCCAGCAGAACCAAGCTCAGTGTGAGCGGCCATCTGCCTTGACCGACTGGGGTTCAAGGAACAGATAAACACATTAATTGATTAATTAATTAAGTTCTTTGGCGCTCGGGCCCTGGCAGAAGACTTCAATGCTGTGAATCAACATTCAATTGTATGTGTAACCTGGAAAAAGACTAGTCCTCCCCCTGGGGCTGGAGACTGGTGGTGGAATAAGCCAGAGGGTTAGTGGGGCTGAGAATAGTCTGAGAGTGAGGGAGGAGCTAAATGAAGGGGATCTTAAAAGATGATTGGCTTTAGAGAAGATGCAGCCCTGCATTGGTTGGCTGGAGCTGAAAGAGGGACATCGCAGGTGGTTCAGGTGAAGCTGCAGTCCTCTAGATTGAATTTACGCTTAAACTTCATTAATTTCAGATATGATGTATATATATACATAAATACATCATATATATATATATACAAGAACCTTGTTTATACAAATCATATGGAAAAGGAAGTGCAATAATAGGTTAAAATGCCCAAATATCATAATTTCCGAGCTAAAAAACACACAATTATATACACTTCAAATAATTATAAACATTAAGAAAGAGAGAATCTGCCCACTGTATGACTGAGTTTCTTTTTTCTCAACTGATATTTAAATATTTAGAATTGTTTTTTTTTGTTGTTAAAGAAATTATGTCAACATGCAAACAGCCACATTTTATTAACGATATTGTTAAAAAAAACAAATTTTTTAGATTATATTTATTGTCAGAATTTAAAAGTGGATGTTGTATAGCTTGATAACACCAAATGACTTTTGATTCAACCATTCTGTGCTGTCATGGGAATCTATGTATGACATATAATAATAGTGTTATAACAGAACACCAAATAAAACAACTCTTTTAGTTTTGTACTTCCATTACTCTGTCCAACTGACTAAATACTACATTATTATGTAAAATGTCGTCCTCTAAAAATCAATTTGTTAACCAGCAATTGCAAAGTAGATAACCATGACAACATCCAATGACATTTTTGATGTATTGTGCAGTTCATTATGATATCAGTGTGATGCCTTCACAACTATGAGGAAGGCTAAACTCATGTTATTCAAGAGAAATCACTGACACCGAACAAAAGAAGAGTGATTTATTAAAAGTACTGATGGAATATTGAGTGGAGGAAAACAACTGGTAGAAAAAGGACGAAAAGGCACAAAGGATAACCTAGAGCATGTGTCAAACTTGAGGTCCTCAGACTGAATTTCCTCTGTCCAGCCAATTTATTTGGCCCTCAAGAGCCAAAAATTGCCAATCTTTTCATAAAATAGGAGCATACTGTATGTTCTTTTTAAATGTACAATATAGCTAAAACTGCTAAATAAATGTGAGTTCAAAACACCAGTAGTATGCTCTTCTTCTTAAATGGAATCATGAAATCAAAAGTTTGTTTTATACAGCTGCAACTGGCATCTTTAAAGAATTGGTGATGCCAAATTGGACCTATATAGAGCTAATTTGAAACCGCCTTCTCTAGGGCTACAGCTTCAAACTACTGATTTGGAGTGAGCTCTTCGTCCTGCAGCTTCAGGGGGTACATCTTTTTAAACACATTTGATGCATATAATTAGTAGATTAGCAGAAGTTTGTAGAACTTGACTGTTAGTTGAGGAGAAGGTAACAGGCCATCCACTTAGGTGTATTAGACCAGCAAGAATAGGAGTTTAAAAGTCCTGCTTTTCAGGCCTTTTTTTACCCCCCAGAAGTTGATTCACTGTGCTGTGTTTAAATAGCCACACTTGAGACATAGGCTACAACTGTCCCATACCTTCTGATTAACCATACCTAAATAAGACAGAAGAGGTGAGTTATCTATAGGGTTACAGTCAAGACTAGGGATCCAGGTTATTGATTAATTAATTTATCTAAAGTCGATTGGCCTGTTCAATACAGCAATGACTGATTAATAAGTGGTTGTTTTCTATAAAACCAGAGTTTTCTCTTTTATCAAGAGGATCTTTCCATTAACATGAGGGGCTAAATATCTTTTTAAAATAAGCTGAATTTAAAGAATTTAAAAAGAAGCAGTACGTAACTTTATTTTAAGAATTGTGCAAGCTGATAAAAATTGTATTTTACACATTATGAAATTAGATCTAAGATACAACAAAACAAGAATCTACAGTATTAGCGTACTGGATGAAAAAACATTTAATAAAATATGTTAAACATGATCAGCGAAGTACAGAGATGTAAACCTATCATTAAAAGAGAGGTTATGTCACTCTGAAATGCTGATATACTATTAACCAATGTGTTTCAATGAAGATGAAGGTAATTGTCATGTAGCTCTATGTTTTTAGCATAAACCAGCATCTAGTTCTGGGAGAGACTTTTTACCATTAAAATCACCTTTAAGTGGGTGGGTGGTATTGTTGCTCTCAGAGGGCTTTCAAAAGATGCCGTTTAGTTTTCTATCATCAAATCCTGGCCTTCCAAACACAGCAGAGAAGTTGAAGCTTCTCCACAATGCAGCACATGGATGCAATAAGGGTGAAAAATAATCCAAATAATCCTGGACCAGACTCTCCACTAGCATGCCTCCTCTCTGGCAATTCTTCTCTTGCAAATACTAGTGATGTTCAGCTTAGGAATAAAGAGCGGCACCTTATGTTGGATGGTGGTAAAATAATCACCACACAAAAAAAAAGACAAAAAATGAAAGTTCATAAGTAATTTAGTATGTAGTAATGTATATAATACAGCTTTATGATAAACACACATTTGTAGAATTAATCCCCTGTAAGTTAAATGAAGTTTTAATTTATTTAAATGCACCATTGTCATAGTGCTTTCTTAAAATAGGCCCAAACCATTGTATACTATCACCACCATAAAAGTCTTATCACTCACACCCGGATGTTGAAGTGCAGAATCCGTCTGTCTGTAGGGCCTAAACTCTGACACTGATGACTGGAAGATGGACATATTTGGGTCTGTGGAACAATGTTCGCTGTGACAGGCCATTTGGTACAGAGACTGTGTCAGCTAAATCTTTGCCCAGGCACAGAGATATGCTCAAACAAGGTCTATTTTTAAAACCAAAGGAAAAGGAAGGCCAGAGATGACACAAGAGATGACAACATGGTGTTCTTCTCCCTCAGGTCAATTCTTCAATAGTAGGAGCCCAGTGGGAAGGCAGCAAATCCACTAACACCACGAAACTGACACAAAGTGAGGCTACAGTAGTGAAGCTTATATAACAAAGAGATTTTAGAGTTAAATATGTTGGTGTGACTTCATCTCATAAGGAATGTCACAAAAAATACATTTGATTCTATAAAGATTCAGTTACAATTTCAATAATAAAAAGAAAAGTTTATTACAGTACTATGTGTTGACTTCTTTCACTCAAAGGGCGTAAACTGCCCACTGATTTAGGCAATAAGCAAGTACATGTGAAACATAAAAGATGAGAAGAATTAGTGAAGCAAAACTCCAGGCTTACCCAAGATAAAACAGGAGCACGCATGTGTATGACAGAGCTCCCTGCACCTTCAAAGAACTCATCACCACTCGGATAAGCTACAAAAAAAACAGGAAGACGTTTCAAAATCTTAGTTTGTTCCAAAATACAATCTAAAACCAAATCAGCACCTACTGTAGGATTTAAAAGCTGACCTTACGGGTTGTTCTCAGAATGGGTAGTCAGGTGTCATGACTTAAGTTCTGTTTACAGTTACTGAGCTGTAACAGACTGCTGTCACTTACCAGAACAGCTAACGGCAGAGGGATAAAGCCCATCCTCCGGGCCACTGAGTCACTGTAGTCGGTGTAGGCCTGCACAGTCACAGACAAGGTTATAGCTCTAACATATGAAACTATTGACAGCATGAGCTTTATGATGTTAGTAGGTTGTGATAATAAAATTCTAAATACTGACATTAATATCCAGAAAAAAAATCGATATTGGATACCATTTTTAATACAGTGGGAATGAAAACAATGAGAAATGATTACAAATATTTTTACTTAAAGGAAAAACTCACCTTTTCTATCTCATTATGGAACATGCTTTCTCAAAAGATGGTAGTTAAAACCATCCAAATTACAGCAAATAACTCAAATGTAACACAGTTGGACAGTTTTTTAAGGATCCCCGTTTATGGAATAAATGCTGCACATTAGGGAGAATCCTTCATTGCCAAATTTTAAAAAAGGGCTCAACTTGCTTGTATGAAGTGGCTTTTAACACTGGCAGGACTTACAGTAGTTGTAGTGACGTTTTTTTTTACCCTAAACAGATTTTTATTATTGCTGTTTTAAAGCGCTCTTCACATAAAGTTTATGATGATGATGGTATATTACCATGCCAAATTAGCAGTGTATCCAGGTGCATCGTTTTAGCACAAATACATTCTGGAGAATCAATCTTTGACAGCCATAAATGTTGCAGAATGATATAAGGACAAATAAAATGTACATACATTCTTTTGTCGGCTGCTGACAAGATCGAAGGCCAGGCTGGCTCTGTATTCACTGTACACCTGGAGGACACACAGTATTACACACGTGCTTGTTTAGAAACGTTATAAAGTTGATATGTAGAGTAGTTATTCTGCCTCAGGCTTTGTCTTACATCTGCTGTAATATCATTAAATTTAGTGATGAATGCATGTTTAATGATGTCAACTGCAACTTCAGACATGACCACCATAAGTACGTCAGGGCACAGCATCCACAGGTGGTCTAAGGAGAAAAAAACAATGTGTTTAAGTAAATATAAGGCTTTGGTATCCAAATGTAGAGCATATCATAAACACAAATAAGTACAATTTTTGGTAGAACCCAAACATTGCTGTCAGGATATCTAAATAAAGAAACACTGATTCTCACCACTCTAATTAAATAAATGACTGTGCTACTTTAAGGTGTTCAAAGGTCAGCTGTCATAGTTCGCATGGACCAAGACTGCCAGGAGAAGCAGGGTGTTTTCAGAAAGCTGTCAACAGTAACACCCAGTTCTCATCTCTGACTTAACTGCCTCGTTGAAGGAAGACTCTGGGAAAAAAAATCCTCCGAAGTACTACAGCGGGTCAGCAGTGAGAAAAAGAAAGGAACTGCTCAGCATTACTGTCAGATTTTTGTTAAAGGCTAGCACCAACTGGGACAGAAATACTGATTCAGTTTTATATCTGTGGCAGAATTTGAAAGGGTGCTGCTTTTGTTTGTCTTTATTGCGCTCTAAATGTTAATGACATGTAATTTTAAAAGGGAATTCAAATAATTACCTGGGTTCCATGAGAACTGCTCCATATTCCTGAGACAGACGATGAGGAGGAGAACATAGCTAGTGAACCGTTCTTTTATATCTGCAAGAATAATTAAAGGTGTTAATTATGTAAAAAAAAAACAACAACTTGTAATTTAGTTTATTTTTCGTTTGCACACAGTGGTGTCAGAGTAAGGCAGATCTTTTAGTTATCAGGCTGCTCCCCTGTAGAACCAACGACAAATTTTAGTCCGTGAAGCAGACACCAATTCTACTTTTAAGGCAAGGCTTAAAACTTTCCTTTTTGATAAAGCTTATAGTTAAAGTGTCTTGTGCTACTATATATAGAAGTTATGCTGCTTTAGGCTTAGACCACTAGAGGACCCCTTTTCATCATTCTGTTTCATTCTATTTCTATTCTACCATTTTGCAGTATTTGTTAGTTCAACCTCTAATGTTTTGTTTGCCTTTTTTAATCATAGTAGCTTTATCTGGTCTGTTCCTGTTTGGCTGTGACACCATCCTGGAGACAAATATCAACTGTGCTGCTGCCATCAACACCTTTGTAGATGTGGGAGCTTGGCCTGTTTTTCAGTGTAGTCCTGTTTCTGTTTCTGTGACTAACTGTGTGTGCTCTCTTCATCATCGGATATTCCGTATGTCTGCTTTTGTTTTGGCAGATGGACGCTCACACTGAACCTTATTCTGCTGGAGGTTCCTTCCTGTTAAAAGGGAGTTTTACTCTCCACTGTCGGTATAAGCATGCTTGGTGTGAGGGATTGCCGTCGAGTCAATAAGACGATGCAAATCAGCCTGTTTTCCTTAGATCAAAAACTAAATCAATCTGACTGTATGATCTGGTTGAATTTTCTGTGTAAAGTCCCTTTAGATGACATGTGTTTTTAACTGGCGATATATATATATATATATATATATATATATATATATATATATATATATATATATATATATATATATATATATATCTATATAAAAATAAACTGCATCATTTTGACACCAAAAGCTCTTTTTTATGAAACTACAGGTAGTAATTCTTCAAGCCTTATCCAAAACCTTGCAGATCTTTCATTTTTGGTTTTGTTGTTTTCAGGAACTTAATAAATCCTGCTTCTATAGGTCCACTGTTGCAGAACTTCTACTGTTGGATGGATGGGTGCTAACTTTAATACGCATGCATGGATCTACATGCTAGCTGGAACTCTCTTCTGTGTGGCAGCAAACACACTTTAAACGTATTATGGCCACCCAACGGGTTGCAGTGCAGAGGTCAGTGTCAATATATTGTGACCAAAATTCAGTGTGTGAGCTGAAAATTACATTTTGTAAAATTGCAGTTTTATTGCAAATGCAATTAGGGGCCAGCAGGAAGAGGGCCTCACCTTATGAGACAAAATGGTATAGCATGCTCACACACACTCTCAAACACCTTAGAGCTTTTTGGACAGGCCAGTTAATCAGCATATGTGTCTTTGGAATGGAGAAATCCCCACTAAAATGCAGAAGCTGACACTTCAACTCAGGACCTTTTAGCTGTGTGGTAGCAATGCTTACCAATCAATTACCCTAATATTAAAGCTGAACTGTTTAACTTTTAATCCATATATTAAACAATTTATCAGGTCAATATATTCTGTAAAGCACTTGGCTTGTATGAATGCTCTGAGCAGGCTGCTCTAGTCAAAGCCTTGCCAAAGTAACTTAAGAGGATAAAAACCTTTATGAGACCCAGACCCTTGCCTTAGAGCAGTCCGAGCTTCCCTGAAAAATGGGCTAGCTGAGCTAAAAGTTGTTAGGCTAAATAAATATGACACTTACCTAATCAGACATATTTTTATGTAGGATTTAACCTAAAGGGGTAAATGTGTTCCAGCCTTTACAAGGAACTGCGTTTCTTTTTAATATGATTGTAGCCTTGTTAACAGGGTTGCTTTAAGTATTTTATGCTTATTTAAAATATTCTCATAAATAACCTGCATAGTTAATGAGACTTGAAACAGCTCAGTCTCTTCTGACCTCTTTTATAGATATATATCTTATGCTAAGAATAACAGAGGTAAGTGAAAACCGATATTTAATGGACTGAAAAACTTACCACTGTTAGACATTTGGAATAAATTGTTCTTCTCAAATTTCTTGAAGACGCTTCCCTTGATCTCCACAAACTGTGACACATCAAACACACAAAAGCGATCATTAAATATACTTGTAAAAGAATACAGCAATGTAGCTGCAGCAGTGGGATTCAACGCTTTAATGTTGAATACTTTTAGTGCAAAGGTTATTTGTTATCCTTTTTGAATGCAAGAGTAACTGAGGTAATATTTAAGTAGCTACTTCTGCTTTAGTATAATGTGGTTTAGTGACACGTATCTGTGTAAATACTGGCTTGTGTGTGTGTGTGCACTGACATTGTTGGACATCATGATGGTAAGCAGAGACTTGTTATGTGAGTTGAAGGCGACATTGAGGGTGGAGGCTTGCACCATGATGAGGATGGAATGAAGGACTGAGGAAGAAAGACTCAGGAAAAAAACAACTTTGAAAATGAAAGCATATATCTCAAATTCATTTATGACCGAAATTAGGTATAACACCTCTAAACTAAACATGTTGACAAAATCCAGTTGCTGTAATAATGAATTTAAAATTATTTTACTGAAGGCTCAAATGTTAAAGCTACACACAAATAGCTACGCCAATTAAGCATTTACTTTCCTGTATTTGGCATCCCTTGTTTGAAAGATTGACAGGCAAGTTTAAAATATGGCTAAATGCCCAGCTTATGTCTGTTTATCTCTGTTGCTTAAAATAAGAAAACATAAGAAATAATATTTCTAAAGAGTTTGGGTTTATCACAAAGATAAAACGGAAGGATACAGACATAGAAGACAGCCATAAAAAAGTGAGGAATGACTCCTATATTATCTCTCTTCCGCTCTTTGGGTTCTGTGGCCGTCCAGTAAAGAGCATCCAGGATGTCTTGACCAAAGGACGAGAAGAGACGATCTGCAACCTTACAATGAAAACATAGGTTGGAGAATAAATTACTCTTGCAAAAAAACAGTGAATGTTACCTTGAAGGTATCAGCTAGTGAATTATTAGTGCGTATTAAAGCATCTGCACTAAATCAATTCTGACTTGTAGAACATTGATATAAAGTGCTTCAAAGGCTGAAAACCAGAAAGAACTACAGTCTGCCTGTGATAGTGTTCATTTTCACCCTGTAGGATTTGTTTAATGGAAGTATACAATTGTTCTTTTTTATGTTTAAGAAGTTTACATGGCTAAGCATGACTTGCTATTAAGTAACTGATCTTATGCCTGGTTCACACAGCAGGATTTTGAAATTGTCAGTTGATTTTTAACCCTGTAAAACGTCAGACATGATGATAAAAAAAAATCATAGACCGAACAGGTTTGTTAATAGTGCTTGGCACACAGCCAGATGGCAGACGCACTCACCAACAGATCTCCCTCACAAACGTTTAGATGTCAGTTAGGAAATCTCATAAAACATCTTGAGATTAAATGTGATTTGATGAGGAAAGGGTGGGTTTATTACTTGGTGTTTTAATGTGTTTTATTACACATTAAAAGGTCATATTTATGAGTGTTAACTATATATTTACTTTAGATTATGATGACATTGTCGACATGAACAGATTCTGGGCCAATATGATTGGTAGGTTAAAATCAGGTGAGAAAGAGCTCAGGCATTGCAGATGCTAATAGTTCAATGTTAGAGCTCAGAAAAGGCGCCATCTCTCTTTTCTCCGATTCAAGCCAAGAAAAAAAAAGAAACAAAACGAAAGTGAACATCGGCCAAGCTTTTGAGCATGGGAGCCGACTGAAGAAAGCAAAGGGGTTTAGAAGCCAGACAGAGGTTACAGCTTTCTTTCTGAACAGGAAGGCTAAATAGTTTGCTAATGCGTTTGTATTGGCAGATGTGGCAAACGGCTTGAAAACTGTACAATTAATGGTTGGAAGGAGAGTGGATGCGGGCGAATGTCCAACCTACTGGCTCGGAGGATTTAAACTTGTAGCCATCTTCTTTAAAACTCCCAATAGGTTACCAGGCCAGGACAATTCATTAAATAATATCAGCCCATTAGAGGTCCAGAGGATATCAAATGTCCTTCCAAACAGACAAAATTACTGTGCAAACACCACGCAGCAGAAATATCTCATCATTTTATCCAGAGGGCTATCACGGTTACAATCGCAAGATTGTAGGAAGTGGAGAATCAGGGCAAAGGTTTCCATTTGCATTTTGCTCTGTGAACCAGGCATTATTTTCTTGTTAACTGTTACACTACTGGAGAGCTGCATTCATTTTTTTATCTATCCACTTGTAAAAGGATACTCTTGTTGACAAGCAACCAGCAGTAGAGTTTTGCAGAGAAGCCTGTGGCCATTATCCGACACCAGTTTTTCTTAAACTCCATAAGTCTGATATTTTTATTGGTCCTATAAGTTTGATAAAGTCTCCCTGAAAACAGGTCACTTTTCTTTTGAAGATCTCAACTAAGGAAGCAGATCTTAAACTTAGTTTTTTAAGATATTAGATGTAAAAAGCCATTTAAAACTCTTCTTTTGCTTCATTACAAAAACTAAAACATTGCCATTTCTATGTCTAGCTGAAGGGAATACAAATTCTGGTGGACATGACTCGTTGGCAGGTTACTTTGTCAGAATCACCCACCGCTTACACACCTATAGCAGTGCTTCTACATCACATATGCCTAGCATTTAGCTACCGGTTAGTATACATTTGTTTTTCTAAGTTAATATGTAGAGTTAATGTGCTAGCCAGTGCCTGTGTGACTTACCTTTCACCTGACTGAGAGTGCAGACTCTTCCATTGCGAACAGGCAAATCATTTTTCTGCATAATTTACAGTTTTCCAAATGTTGGTTTGCTTCATTTTCAACTCATGGTCTGTATTTAATATTTTACAGCCTTTAAAATGACATCCCCCAGTATGATCGAAGCTCTGTCCACTTGGGAGGGATATTGTTATGAAAACATACTAGCATGACAATAGCGCAAGCTTTGTCTGATGTGTAAGGGGCATCAGACAAAGCTTTAAGTTAATAGATTTCTATTTGTTGTGAAATAAGGCCCAACAAGAAATATTTGGGAACTACTGGGCAATATCAAGGCATCTTTCGGAATTAATATAAGTGATTCAGAATCTTTAAACACAGCCCAACTGAGAAGCTTCCCAGATTCCCTTTGTTGTCCTGTGTGTGCAGTGTAGGGTACCTCCAACATGTTGTAGATGATGTAGAGTTTAATAACAGACTGTCCTCTGATCAGGTGGTACATCATGGAGTAATCCACGTAATGCATCATGGAGAAGCACAGCACCAGGATCAGCCCCTTCAGCATATCACAAACTTGTGCTGGCTGCAGCAACCGTGACCCACTGTTCACAGAGAAAGGAAGGCAGTCAGAAAGCTCATCGTCTATTTCCTCCACTGACACGGAGACATGTGTTATTTAATGCACTGATGCATGCTGAGCTGCAAGCTGCTCTGTATCTCCCAGTATCAAACATGCATGAGGAAATGTATTCACACCATGGTGTAAAGTGTGCTGACAAATTTTTTTAACTAAGTACTAACATAAAGACATTTCCGACTGTTTGAAGATTCATGCACAGGTTTTACCCCAAGCCGATACTTTGCAGCCATATGGCACACAGTAAACCAAAACATTGATGGACAGACAACAGACCTCTACCAGCCTCGCCTATTACTGCCGGTTACTGAGGCTGAATGATCCCAGATTATAATCTCACAAGACGTTACAAAGAGATAACATAGACAGGGGGAAATTTCTCTTCTCAGTTCAAAATTAGATAAAATGAGGAGGGGCAACAACAGATGATATCAACCAGCGCACAATATGAAATATTAAAGATATTATCTCCATTATAACACATTTATCTTGGAAGCCAGCTTTCCTTTTAATATGGCCGTTTTTGAAATATGTCTTTTGTCCGTTTAAAGTACATGAGTATAAATAAACCCAGGCTGCTCTTATCTACCAAACAGCCCAGCAGTATCAGCGCTAGGAGCCTCGCTCTTTCTTCAAATATTACAGTTATAATATAAAAAGAGATTCCACATTTTGGACAGAAATGTCTAAAACAGAAAACAAACACCATCAGCCGTCATATCCAACAGCAACATCAAGAAGCGTCTTCCCAGGGTAATAAAGTGTGTCAAACATGCAGCTTATTTTATTAATATCTGCGCTTGGCAGGGGCAGCTGTGGAGCACGTTAGGAGGAAAGCTGACAAATCCATAGGAGCGGTTATTTAGTTACTGTGACAGAGGCGACTGGAAAGAGCTGAGGGGAGATTAATCTGAACACTTTCTGCATATTTCCAATGTCAGCTGTGTGTCTGTATCTTAGCCCGCAGAGCCAGTCTCTTCTTCTTAGACATTAACTTCTCAATGGCGACCAGTTTATTATTCTAGTTATTTAATTACATACCATTAAAAAGAAATGTACCTTTAAAGTGCTGAGGGAGTCCAAATACCATCCTGCTGGCTGCATTAAGCTCTATTCCAAAGTTAAAGACAAAAAATCTTTGTGCTTAATCAAAAAAAGTGCATTATTTAACTGCTATTAGAGACTACTCTAACAGGCCTTGTTACCTTTACTGACTTGAGTTTGGAGTTGATTACTAACAACAGAAAAAAGGATAGAGGAAACAAGTTTTAGGAGGTGAGTAATGGTGAGGCTATATCCCAACAAATCTGAACTGTTATTGAAGCCGACACAGATGGAAAAACTAAAAAAAGTGCCTCACAGCAAGTAAAACAGGCTTATCATTAGCATCACTATGTTCTCTGAATGCACAGCTGAGAAAAGGGCACTAAAGCAAAGGCACTGGTTGATTATCAATAAATCCTGAACGTTTTTGTTGTAAAGTAGACTTCTGGCGCTATACCACCATCCAGTGGTCAAATGTGAGACATTTTAATACATCACATACATCACACACATTAAATGGTGCATGCCTGCATCACTTCTCATCACCATTTGATCCAATTATGCTAACAGCCAGAATTATTCTGACTTATTTCAGATCCAACTTGCCATAATGATTTAAAAGGATTTCAGAACAAACCCAACATTTTAAGATAAGCTCTAGCTTCTTTGAAAATAAGCACCTACATTACATGATATCACAGAAGAAATCAGGCCAGATTACAGTTCTTCTTAAAAACATCAGTTAAATTTTCTTTCAAATTATTATGTTTTCATTTATTCCCCCCTTTTAAACTAGTTTCCACTGTTACACGTATAAAGAACTGTCCTACCTATAAAATACTTTTGGTTTCACAGTCAGTAGAGCCAAAACCATCAGCTTCAGTTCAGTTAAATCCACAAAGACAAAAGATTTAATGAAATCCTGCAACTTTTTTTAACCAGTGATGGGCAGGTTATTTAAAAAAGTAACTACATTGTTATAGTTACTAGTTATTTCTCCAAAAACTATATGAGTAAGTAACTCAGGTATGTCTCAGTGAAAGTAACTAATTACTAGTCAAAGTAACAATGTGTTTACATTTTATGAACTAAAGGATCAGAGAATTTTCAAAACATACTTGTTATTAGAATTTTAAATACAGCTAGAGGTTCAATTATAGCATATAAGGTGTTTGTTATTGATTAATAAATACATATATTTATTATCAGTATAGCCATAAGAAAGCAGAGAACATGTGCAGCAGCTGTCATTCAGCATTAAGATGATGTGTGGGGCTTTTTTAAATTACAGCATCTAACCAACATTTATAAAGTCTGTGTTAACAAACATAATGAGCAAATCACAGGAACGTTCAGCAGCACTTTTTCAGAACGCTGTCATTGAATCAGCGTCTCTGGGCCATTGTCTTCCCTCTGTGCTCATGCTGAAGTTGCCCATAGCTGTTGCGTTTTCCAAGTGCGCTTCCACCAGAATACTGTAGTCCTTACTTATATAAGGTAACAAATATCAAATCTGATTAAACTGTAGAAATGAAAAGGGATTACTGTCTTTTACAATCTAATTAGTTACAGTGCTAGTTGCTGCAAAAATAAGAAATTAATGTAATGTGTTGATTAATAACAATAATGGTAACATAGTTCCAACACAGATTAGAACAAGAATAGTGATAGTTATATTTTTTATATTTTCCTTTTTTTTGTATTATTTAAAAATTCTGAATGTTAGAATTTCTACAAATAACTGAAGTAAAATATTTAAGTTATTAAAGTTTAAAGCAACACTGTAAATGTTGACCCCGGGATTAGCTTACTATGTGATAATCAGTGGTGTCAAAAGTACACACATTTGTTACTTAAGTAGAAGTATAGATACCGCAGTTTAAAAATGATCTGGTAAAAGTTGAAGTATTAACTTGACCTCTTTACTCAAGTAAAAGTGAAAAAGTATGTGCTCCAAAAACTGCTTAAAGTATAAAAGTATAAAGTAACCTCTAAAAAGAGCAGCCAGATGCCACTATATGAATTGAAAGCTCAATTTTTCAACAATTTCAAAAAATTATCTGAGATAGGGCCAAGGATGAAGGAGGTTTTGTTGGTCTCCGTCTCCCGATACACTCTCGTTTGTGTCCGACCTTTCAGACATTTCAACATCTTTTTCTGAATCCAACATTGTAGCATGGCATAGACAATTCACGTTTGCAGTGAGAAGAACACCTGCTTGCTTCTGATGATTTCCTTTAGCTAACTAATGAGTGTTTGCGTTGTATGACTCATCCATTTCCACTAGTTTTCACTAGATGTGAATGGCGCCAATGATCTGCATTGGATGGCGCACATGACGTGAAATAATAAGTGAATCATGTGACCCAGAGCGCTGTTTACTGCAGTCTATGCTCACCAAAGGAGAGACAACTAAGTCTAGCGCCCCAAGTGGCTAAAGAATTGGACAAATGTTGGAATCTGCCAACATCAAGCAAAAATGCTGGGAGATACTAAACTTCTTCCAAATAAAAAAATGAAAGTTAATTTAAGCCTAATTTAAGAAGGTGGTCTAACTAGGTTTTTATCCAAGTTCGAAACTTCTCATTCAAAGAACCGGCTGCAATAAGAAATCTAAATCCCTCGACTAAAAAGAGGTAAAATCAGTCAAAATGCAGCTGGTTTAATACTGAGATAATTTTTAGACACTCTTCATTCTTAGCACACAGACCCAACACTTTCAAGTGCCCTTCTCACAACAGCCTGCATTATAAACAGTAATATTTAGCTCTACTTCACATTCTGTGAGCCTGAAACAGAAAACTTAAAATTAAGGGCCAGAAAAAAGAAGAAATTATTTTGTTGGAGGAGCTTAATTCTTATATATTCGCTCTAATAACTGCTGAAAGATGCAACTACAGACAGGAACTGTGCTACACCTAAAAGCAGCGGTGAGGTAGGACTATCACTAATAATCGACACAGGGGTAAAAGTGGCCAAACATGCTCAGCAGATCTTTACATCAGACAAAAAAAAAAAAAAAAATGAAAACTGACCTGGAAGATCATAAAATGATGTGTAATATCAGACTGTATCTTAACAAACAAGTATGGAGATGAATGGAGACGAGGACTTGACGGGGGCCGGTTTCAGAACGATAATAGTGTTTTAAACAGCCACTATAGGTTTGTGGGAGCATACCTGCTTCTTTTGCAGTAGGGGCATGTGCGTGCCCTGCAGGGGAAGCAAAGTAAGGGAGAGTCAGGTACAGAAGGGACAGGGGAGGGGGGGCTAGGTCTCTCCGGAGGGGGCAGGTGATAATTTGTCCCCATGCATTGGTGGGCACACTCCCACCAATTAGATAGCAGCTAAAACCAAGGCTCTTTTTCTTTTGTCATATTTGGATCCAATCACAACATTCACAACAACAACTTGCAACATCCAGCTGTGTGTACACACAACAAAACATTATTGTTGATGTTGTCGTCACACAGAACTGCTTCCTGTTTACTGGACAGGATAAGCCCGGGTAACGCAGTGCTTTCAGGTAAGCAGCAATAACACACTGAGAAGAACTTAGAACAGACCAGACTTATTAACCTAAAACACATTTGACAGGCTGAACCTTGAAAGGGTCTAACCTTCTATTGGAGAAGAATTAAATCAGTTATCTCTTTGCTTTAACCTCTGGTCATTTTTAATATTTCTTCATTAGTAATTAGAGTATATCTATTCAATTAGCAGACCATTGGTTACTGATCTCCTTTAGGTTAGCTATGTCCACCACTATCCACATTTGTGAGATAGCCTGGACTATAATCAACTGTACACTCTCAACCACATGCCTATGCAGCATGTCAGAGCTTTTTAAAAGAAATGCATTTTGAAGATACAGTGAGGAAAATAAGTATTTAAACACCCTGCTATTTTGCAAGTTTTCCCACTTAGAAATCATGGAGGGGTCTGAAATTGTCACCGTAGGTTCATGTCCACTATGAGAGATATAATCTAAAAAAAATATACATTTTTTAACTAATTATTTGTATGATACAGCTGCAAATTAGTAATTGAACACCTGAGAAAATCAACGTTAATATTTGCTAATGAAGCCTTTGTTTGCTATCATAGAGGTCAAACGTTTCCTGTAGTTTTTCACCAGGTTTGCACACATGGCATTAGGGATTTTGGCCCATTCCTCCACACAGATCCTCTCTATATCAGTCAGGTTTCTGGGCTGTAGCTGAGAAACACGGACTTTGAGCTCCCTACAAAGATTCTCTATTGGGTTTAGGTCTGGAGACTGGCTACTGCTTCTTCCAGAACCACTCCTTGGTTATCCTGGCTGTGTGCTTCAAGTCATTGTCATGTTGGAAGACCCAGTCTCGACCCACCTTCAATGCTCTAACTGAGGGAAGGAGGTGATACCCCAAAATCTTGCAATACATGACCCCGGTCATCCTCTCATTAATAAAGTGCAGTTGCCCTGTCCCATGTGCAGAAAAACACTCCCAAAGCATGATGCTACCACCCCCATGCCTCACATTGTACTGATCTGCAGCTCGATCATACAAATAAATAGTTAAAAAATCATATATTGTGATTTCTGAATTTTCTTTTTTTAGATTATGATTATTAACAGTGGACATGCACCTACGCTGACAATTTCAGACCCCTACATGAGTTCTAAGTGGGAGAACTTGCAAAATAGCAGGTTGTGTAAATACTTCTTTTCCGCAGTGTAGCAGTTTTTCAGGCAAGACCAAAAAAAACAAAAAGATTGAGGAGTAGTGCTACTATTAAAGCATCTTCTAGTACTGATCATCATTCCTTAGCATTCTCTACAACTTCTATGGTTTTGAGGGGCTGTAAGATAAAGAATTAATACATACAAACCACTCAAGTTTTCTCAACAAACATGATGTTAGAGAATAAGCAGCTTTTATTGTGGAGTGATAACTTGTCTGCAGATATATCATATTTTAGCAGATGGTGACAGCAGTGTAGGTCTTCAGTCTTACCTGAAGCCACAGCATGGTAGAGTGAGGAGGCGAAGCAGAGCTAGCAGCACCCTCAGGGGCAGCAGGGTGAAGATGTACAGGAAGGCATCAGCACACAGGAAGAAGCCAAAGATCATCAGCTGGAACAGACAAACAAACAGCGCCGTGCCAAACAACAGCTGTCAGTGAGAATGGAAAACCCTACCTGTAAACATTAAAAGTGTCTGAAAGTATTTTTTTACAAATCAGGATTAAATCTAACAATGCAGCAAACATACCCTTATAAAAATGTCTGACATTTTAAATGGTATACATTTGATTAGAAGTAATTTATCTTAATGCATTTCAGAGACTGAGGTAAATTTAAATACAGTACATCAAGCTTTTGATCATTTTAAATTACTATTACAAGAAGAAGAGGTCCATATATGTCCTTTAAAGTTTGAGACATTTATAATGTCGTTAAATTGGTTCTTTAAAAGTACATCTAAAGAAGCATGAAATAATAGATACAATCAAAATAAATAAGGCGAAAGTTTGAGGAAAAATTTGGGAAAGATTTGAATTTTGTCAGTGCCACCAGACAGGGAACAACACAAATTCCAACAATATTCCACACAAATTATGTTGGAATTTTAATAATTCCATTCAGTATTGTGTGGCTAAATGGGATTTGTAACCATTGCATATTTGTAAATACTGCTTGCTGTTATAAACAATAATAAATCATATTTAAATTAATTAAGGTTAGGGTTAATATCAGTTATAAATCATCGAATGGCAAGCTGCATTTGGTTAGTTTTTCTAAAAATGACTATAAAACAGAGAGAAAAGCACATTGAAATCCTCTCTCATCAAAAAATCCCTTGATGTATGAATGAAAAAATGTATCTGCTTGTGAATGGTTTAACTGCGACTCAGTCTAGAAGATCCTTGATGGCTTTAACTGAACGTGACAGGCTGATGAACATGGCTATAACTAGACGGTACCTTCTCCAGCTCCTTGGGAATACGCATGCATGTATATACCCTCTCCCTGCGCTCTGTGTACTTTGCTTCATTGTGTTCCAGGAAGTACCCTCTGGTGAGTTCTGCACAAATGAAGCGTGTCAACGATGGATCTGGAACAACAACAGGTCCACAGTGTTACCATGAAGCCATTGTCTGTAACAGTAGCAGCTGTCAGCACAATAAGTTTCCAATACTATGATTGTTATTCTGGTAAAAAGTTCAGTGCCCGTTTTATCTGTGATCACTTCAATGCAAAGGCAAAATTTACCAAATTTAGACAGAAGAAAATTGGACAACATTAGATTTTCATTGATAAAAACTTTAAGGATTCATTTTATAAATCTAAAGGGAAAAAAATGCTATACATTCTTTTAAACAGCAACCAGCAAGAATACTTCAAGCTTTTATGTCTCAAAAGGGTAAAAGAAAAGTGATGAGCTTGTTTGGGTTTTTGATCTACATAATACTTTTGCATTATGGTGCTGCTAAGATGAATATTGTAAAAATGGAGCTGAAACATAATTTGCATGAAAGCACAGCTATCTTTTAAACGAATCCTCTTAATCCAACTCTAGATGAGCTTTAGTGTAGCATATCTATGGACATCTATTGTGACTTTAATGGCAAATAGCTTTTTATGCAGCTAGGGAGATTATGTAACCTAGAATGACTTTTGTACTTTATACTTTTGTGTGTTTGTTTACCCGCATTTAGATGATAAAAGATGTAGTTAGCACCAGATAATACTGGTTTATTTCACATCCAGCTTCCTGGAAGTTTTTGGTTTGGTCAAAGCTTCATGGTTTGTTATTTATAATGATGTTCTTGAGCTATAACCTAAAATTTAAGGGTGACAAGATAACCTCCCACCACAAAGTGGGCCACCCTCCTCCTGCCGTTAGGTAGGTCTGCTCATTTTAACATCCTACAAACATTTATCCTACCTGTCCAGATGGAAAGTAGCAATCTAGTTCTGAGTTTCTTTGCTTCCTTAAGACAGAACCCTGCTCAAAATGTTCTTGTTTTGCCTTCTTTTTTCTTATGTATGTATGTGTGTGTGTGTGTGTGTGTGTGTGTGTGTGTGTGTTGAGGTTGGGGGGTGGAATTAAATCTAGAAAAGGCAATGCATACTGAAGAATCCTTTTCTGTGTGCTATCACAGAGATGCTCAGCTTCAGTATCCTTTTGTGTTGACATTGGGATCGTACCCTAAAGAAAATATTTATAGTTCTAGGACCCATCATATCAACCATGTATCATAACAGTATACTATACAATGTTTCTTTCACTAACATCTACTGAACTACTTTTGTTCTGCACCATTCTACACATTCTGTGGATGTATTTCTTTTTGAAAAAAAAAAATAGTTTTGATGATAAAGATGGAACTACGACTTCTAATTAGCATATGAATGAAAAGAATCCAAATTTGTATTTTTAAAGGCAGCATTTCTTTTGAGCTTTCACATTATTCAAACTACTGTGAAGCCTTATGACTGTTTCTAAAAATTGAATTTTGAAATATATGCATTTTTTCAAGTACCGGTATGTGAACAAAAAGCAGAGCCTACTACGTTATTATAACACTACAAACATAAAACCTGGAGCCGTTTTCTTTTGTCTACACAGTCATTTCCACTTATTGCCTAGTGCAAATAAAGGAAGTAAAATTATATATATATATATATATATATATATATATATTTTTTTTTTTTATTAATTTGTAAGTTATCTGTAGGTAAAACACTGAGTTGAATTTTAGTCCAAATGGCTTTCTAGACGAGTTTAGTGTTTAAATAATAAGCATTCCTTTATGAAGAATATTCAATGCTCAGAATAATCCCTGAAAAAAAGAATTTAAGAAACTCAACTGACACAGCAAATGATCACTTAAATCAATAAATCAGCACTAAAAGTTGAAACTTTACACCAGATCTCAAGCAATTTAAAATGAGTAACTGTTCACTTTCCTTCAATGCTCTAAGTCTTTGATTTTCAAATAAAACTAGCAATTGCTTTCATAAGAAAAAAAAAAAAAAAGGAATTTTAACACAATCCAACAGTCCATTCCCTGTCCTCTGCATATCTGCTGAAATAATCTCATCTAGCGTTATTCATAACTGGCCTAAAGGAAGGGGATCACCTTAGGCTAGATTTTGAAGAGCTAATGCGTGCTGGCTTGTTAAAGAATGACCTCAGGTGCAATGGACACCATGACACAATCTCTTTTTTTCTTCCCCTTAACCTTCCTTTATTATAATCATGCAGAGCAATCTGAACACATTTCACAATATAATGTGAATAAATAGATACTTTAGATGCTGAAAATCTTAAATAAGAATCCTTACTAAAAACTATAGTAAGAAACACAACTAAACATATTAAAAAAAAAATGGTTTATTTAAACAAACAACATACAGTAGGACAAAGGAACAGCCACGAGGGTAAGCATAGGGACCTAAAATAATGTTAGCAAACTTTTGAAAATTGGGGGAAAAAAACCAAACATAATGGAACTAAACAAATAATTTCACCAAATGCCTTAATTTACTCAGTTATTGCACCAGCTGTTGGTTTATTATTAGCTTGATAATTAGGCTAGCACTGACTGTAAACAAACAGAGCAGCTGTCATCAAACTGAGGGAAATAATTCAGATTCTGTACCTAATTAATTTCGGAATACCCTCCACTGTAAAAAACAAAATAAAAACAAATCGCTGTAATCGTACAGTCGCCTCAAAACACACGCAAAAAAGGTTGAATTTGTTTAACGGTTCCAGTAGCGGCTTCAAAGACCTCCGACTTACCTGCTGAGGATTCCTGCTGCTCCCTCTTCGCCGCACTAATGTCGAAAAAGCCCAGCGTCTCTGGCAGCTCTGGGGTTATCCTGTTTTTTCCCGACCTGTTAAAATCCTCCCAAGGTCTTCTCTGTCTTTTTCTTTGCTCGGTTTCGCTCTCTTTCTCTTCTGACAGCTCGGTCCCCAACACGTCCGCCATCTTTACTGTGGTCAACGCATGACGTCATCAAACTGCGTCGCTCTACGACACGTCAACTGAGCGGCTTATACAAATAAATATACAAAATATACATATTTTAATATTTATGAAAGAAAAAAACGGATGTATGTATTTATGTATACACATATATACTTACATACTGCTTATTCATATTTTAATAGTCATATTTTGTAAATCCACCTTAAACTATATAAAAATTCTAAAACAAGCCAACGATGGTTTTATTATTTATTATTATTTTTCAAACATATATCCTATCAATTAATAAAATGCCTAAAATAATACAATGGGTAGATAAGATTATTTTTGCGTGATGTAAAATACCAAATAATAAAGGTTTATATTCAATAACAAAGACCATACAATTTAAACATTTCAAGCTAGGGTATGTTAAAAAAATATCTTAGGTTTAACCGTGTGTTACATCTAATTAAAGAACAGTTCTCAAGACTTTCCTCATGGGGGCGCCAAAGTTCTATCAAATCTTTTCAAATTTAAAGTCTACCCAACAACAGCAATCTACAAAAGATAACTTTTACATCAAAGTGTTTTTGCAAGACTGGACATTGTAAATTATTCAGGTGTCTCATGCTCTTAAAATTGTAAAAAATGATCATGTTAATTCTTAAAAATATGGAATCTAACTTGATGAGATCTACTCATGAGCCTGTTTCTATTTTGTGCATATTTGTGGTTGTTTTCACGGCTGTCTGTGCCACAAATGAATTGCAAAAATCACAAGTTAAGCAAATGAAAAGCTGTATTTAAAAAAAACAACAACAACAAATTAATACATAAAGAAAACTAAACAGCTGATATCTCATCAAAGGTTATCACTAAAAGCAAATTTATTGACAGTAAATAAAAGTAAGCTTGTGGTTTGATGTTCACTACTGAGAAAAACAAAACTCAAGCTATCAGCTGTTTTTTAACTTTTATTCAAGAGTAATATAGATCACAACTGTTAATTCATTTCAGTCAGCTTGTATCTCTTTATATGGTCAAGAATGCAAATCTTATGTCCAAATTTAGGGCTATAATAACAGTTTCATTTCTGTTGAAGCTTTTATAACGTAAACCAAGGAAGATAACTCAGTTGTCTAGTTTATCTAAAACTGCATTTATGTGAAATAAAGATTAAGACATATGCTGTTTTGAAGACGGACGTGTCAAGCTTTTAACAGCACGTCTTTATGAAAAGATAACCTGCATAATGAGTAGTGTTGCGCCGATGCCAGTATTTTCCCCCGATACAGATACCTGGCTGTGCAGTATCGACCGATACCGATACCAGACTGATACCATCTGTTTGAAATTGATGTATGTGTGTATATATGAAGAACTGCACACTACTTGAATGTAAAATAATTGCCGTCATGGCTTTGTCAAGCTGCTGCCTACCTTTGTGAAGCAGGAAAAAGAGACTAATACAAAATGAATCCAGTAGAATTTTTTATTGCCTACCTGGAATGGTTGACAATAGTTGCATAAACTTCTGGCTCTCAAAATAGTACCGGTGCCATATTTGTTGGTACTCGCCGATACCAATACGACAATTTTTGTGCTGGATCGGTGCAACACTAATAATGAGCCAACTAATCTGTTATATTTGATAAAGATCAGGGGAAAATACATACAAGACTTACCTGTTGGATTTAACCTCAAACCTTTTTATAGTCTCTAGTTGCCCGCTGAAAACTGATTTCATTTCTTTATAGTGTCACAACACATTCTGATGAAAAAAAAAGGAGAACTTATACCAAGGGTGGTCTGTGCAATGAATCCTACTTTTAAAGTGCCATCTATAGGTCCTTAGCCTGGTTTGTTACAAAGAGGTCAGAGAAGATAGTCTCAAAGAAAAAGAGAACTTTTGCAAACTCTCATGCAGTAATGCAGAAAAAGTCCTAGCAAGAGAGATAAAGTGATGAAATCTAATAAAAGTGTCAGCTTTTGGATGTGCACGCCTAAGGAACCAGATTATATCCAGGTTTTGTTCCAATGTATATTCTTTATACACTGTTCAAAAAAATAAAGGGAACACTCAAATAACACTAGATCTAAATTAAAGAATTATTCTCATTGAGTACTTTTTTCTGTAAAAAGTTAAATTCTGCTAACAACAAAAATCATGCAAAAATTATCAATAGAATCAAATTTATTAATGGATGCCTGGATTTGGAGTTACACACAAAATTAAAGTTAGAAAGCACACTATAGGCTGATCAAACTTCAATTTGTCCTTCAAACAGAACAAAACAAGGCTTAGTATTGTGTGTGGCCTCCATGTGCCTGTACACTATACTGTAACCTCCCTACAATGCCTGGGCATGCTACTAATGAGGTGGGAGATGGTCTCCTGAGGAATACCCTCCAAAATCTGGATTAAATCATCCACCGTGATGATGTTGAACATGATGTTGGTGAATGAAACGAGAAATGATGTCCCAGATGTGCTCAGTTGGATTCAGGTCTGTGGAATGGATGGGCAACTCCATAGCTTTATTGCCTTCATCTTACAGGAAGTGCTGATACACTTCAGCCACATGAGGTCTAGCATTGTCCTACTTTAGGAGGAACCCAGGGCCAATCGAACCAGCATATGGTCTCACAAGGGGTCTGAGGATCTTTATCTCGGTACCTAATGGCAGTCACGCTACCTCTGGTGAGCACATGGAGGTCTGTGCAGCCCTCCAAAGAACTGTCACCCCACACCATTACTGACCCACTGCCAGATCGCTTATGCTGAAGGATTTTCCGGGCAGCCGATCGCTTGCCACGGTGTCTGCAGACTCTGTCACATCCGTCACATGTCCTCAATGACAAACTGCTTTCATCTGTGAAGAACACAGGTCACCAGTGGCGAATTTGCTAATTTGTGTTGGGCTGTGAGTACAACCCCCATCTGTTAACGTCAGGTCCTCATACCATCCTCATGGAGTCGATTTCGAACCGTTAAGGTTAGGAACACGAGGAGCAATAGACATGCTCCTCGTGTTCCTCCTTGCAAAAAGTCAGAGGTACCAGTCCTGCTGCTGGGTTTTTGCCCTCCTACGGCCTCCTCCACATCGCCTGGTATCGTCCCCAGCTTCTGGACACCTCAATGACAGACACAACAAACCTTCTTGCAACAGCTCACATTGATGTGCCATCCTGGATGAGCTGCACTACCTGAGCCACTTGTGTGTGTTCTAGAGTCTGTCTCATGCTACCATGAGTGTGAAAGCACCACCAATGGTGAAAAATGACCAAAACATTAGCCAAAAAGCATAGGTTCTGAGAAGTGGTTTTTGGTCCCACCTGCAGAACCACCCCTTTATTAGTGTGTCTTGCTAATTGCAAATAATTTCTGTCTTTAGTTTATTCCATTTGCACAAAATCTTGTGGAACTGATTGTCAATCAGTGTTGCTTCCTAAGTGGACAGCTTGATTTCTCAGAAGTTTTATTTATTTGAAGTCACATTGTGTTTTTTGAGCAGTGTATATTTTTTTGCTTTTTATCAATAATCTAATATGTCACAGAAAAACAGTATTGGTGAAAGTAAACTGAGGATAATTCCAAGTTAAGTTTTTGGACAGTAAAATAGCTACACCAAAAGAGCTGTAGAGCTGATTTTCAAATTAAAAGCCTTCTTAGTTCAATCCATCAAGCATCTGCCATGAAAATAAATTAAATGTATATTTTAGAATATGGAGCAAAAATAATGACAGTCCTAAAAAATCCAAAAGAGCTTCCAGGGTATTAAATTGAGTCCTTTTAAATAAATGTTATCATTTTTAGAGTTAATGGTGTAGTAAAGCACATATGGATCAACAAAAAAACAGGAAAGGATCACCTCTTAACACCACATGCTTTAACCAAATCAAAAGTAGCTTTTTTACTGTAAGCACGGTTTATTGGCACACATAATGGTAAAGCATACATACCAGACATCAGATATGACACTGAACACCTCTGCTATATAATGTACAAATGGTGTCTAATAATACTAGACTCATATTTCCAAATGTGTGAGCTTCCTTACAAATACACAAATAAATACCCATTAAATCCAATTGTATAAAGACTGTCATTGTCTTGCCAGTTTTTAAAGAAATCTCCAACAAAAAGAGTATATGCAAGGGTATCGATTCAATTGAAGATTAAAGAACGATTGTGAACACAAACACAGGGATCTTTAAGCATTTCTGTGGGGTGGATGAGATTTTAAGTCAGTCTTTAAATGGTTCCTTTAGTTTGTCACAAGGTACTCATATAACCAAATACAATGACTGTGTGGTTTTTCATTAACTTTGCGGCTTTGGTTCTGTGCTAGCTAAAGAGGTCTTAACTTCTAATATGAGAAGTTTTGGTTCAAAATAAAGTAAACCTGCAGCCATCCAAACCACCCTACAGAAATAGAGACTGGTATAAAACAAAGAAAAAAAAAGCTGCCATATTCAAACTGCTTTCAGTGGTCGATTTACAGTGGACAAAATAGATTCCACCTTTATTTACAAGCTACAAACCTTGTTACAGTGTTCCCAAACTGATAAACACAAACAAGAAAAAAAAACAACTAATGCATTTCAAAGAGCACATTTAACAAACCAAATAAAAATTGTATAAAATCATGCAGGAGAAGGCTTTGTATCAGTTTGGGAGGTCATTAAAGGGAAAGAAGTCCTACTTTCCAGGATTGATAATAAAAAAACAAAAAATAATAATAAAGCATCAACATGGGTCAGCAAAGTTCACAAAATGATTGGCAAAAATTACAATGTGACTTCAAAAGATTCAGAAAGAAGCCAAAAATACCAACAGACTACAAACACAATCAAAGTGGTTTGCATGAAATCACAATCCGTGACAACAGCGGTAACGATAAGAAAACTATTCCAGGACAGGATTTTTCCTCATTTGAAAAAGGATCCACTTTGTAGAGGACTTTTATTTCCTCTTAATTGGAAATGGAACTCAAGCAACAGTAGAAACAGCCCAACGGCCGACTGGATTTCCAATAAAAATGCAATTGCCTCCAACAATGTTTTCATCTGAGTCCAATGTGGTGAGACACTTCCATGGGCTCCGCTGGCTGCTGAAAACCACATTCCCTTCACAGGCTTTTTATTTCAGAGACATTTTGTTTGTTGTTTTTACTCTTCTCTCCTTCCTACTGTCCGCAGTCAGTGTGATGACTTGTGACCTGCAGGTCAACCAATCACAGCTGAGGTATTCCACCAGACAGGAGGTTTGTATCTGACGGTCCAAGAAGGAGAATTTGATCTAGAGCTTTCCACTCAAGGATTAAGTCAGCCTGCAATAATATTTCTATATTACATTGCATACATCTTGTATGCTTTTCTAGTCTGTAGATACTTCTAAGCAGTTCATCCAGTTCTCTGTGTTTTTTTAAAGAAATGTTGCAATGATTCAGAAAGGAAAATATTCCAGATGACACAGTTTGGCTAGACATGCCAATGATGAGTCTGCAGACAGGTGAATTAGTTATGCGGCATAGAAGCACTGCCCTCTGGGTGAGAGGAGGATGTTTGAACGTCTGACCCACATTGAGCCAAGGATCTGTTGTTTTCTTCTTTTATCTAATATTTGTAACTTTACTGCGAAGGCTGTGGCGCTGTACTCTCTGGCTTGGTGTCCTGGGTGGCAGGTTTGCTGCTCCAGGGGGCGCTGTTACCCAGAGCAGGGGAGCTGTTAAAATCATCCTCATCATCCAGGCCGTTGGTGGCGTCATACTGGGTGTTCTCCAGACGGGTGATCAGGCGCTCATCCTCGTCCCCAAACTCACCGCCCATGAGGGTGGGCTCGCCAACGACCATCACGTCCTGTAGCCATTAAAAAAGAAGATGGTGAGAGACTGGAACCTTTCCTGATAAAACAGCTTAAAAATCAAAAACTTAAACTAGTTTTAAAGCTGAAAACAGTATTTGCTGCCTTTGAAATTTCTTTTCTCTTTGCACTTGAATTTAATAGATGATCAAATAAGTTTTAAAGCTGAAGAGAGGCTGTGTAATTATAACCTGTAGTTTTCAATGTTTAAATTTAGAAAGAAAATACAGCTGTTAAAAATGTAGGCTAAATATGTATAGCTAATTTAATGTCAAAGCAATATCAGAAGGTGAATCCCAAGGGTCTGTTTGAATGGCAATAAACGTTGGCTAATGTAGTCCAAACTTTACGAACTCATGTTTTACATACTAATGTAATATTTAACCAGTTGGAATAACTCTTGAGGTAAGAGATGCTTGCACTCGACACAACTGACATTGCCTAAATACTAAAGGTCACACAGCATGTAGTACACAAATGGATGAAGAGAGGAAGGAAGAAAATAGGCATTTATTGTAACTAGAAGAATAGAATAGAACAGAATAGAGAATCCCTTTATTGTCCCACAATGGGGAAATTCTTGTGTTTACAGCAGCAAAAAGATGATAGAAAAATTGGTCACTCAAATGTGGTCCTTAGAAATGTATATAAGAATAACATAATAGTGAAGAGTTAAAACATAAACAATTAAAATACTGCATTGTGTACAAGTGCACAATATAAATATTGTCTACCTGGAGAGTTAGTAACCAATATCCAGCCATGGACATTTTTACAGTAAGTGATATTTGAAAATAGCAGCAACATCAGAGATGTTCAAAACTAGTATGGTGATTAAAAGATTCTTTGATATTTTGCAGGTCTAATAAAACCAACCTGGCCTTATGTAGTAAAGTAGTTACACAGTAAGAGTCCTTTACCTCACTGTTTGGCCGATCTTTGTTTGCAGAATTGTTTTAAGTAACGCCTGAGCATTTAGGGCCATTTTTTTGGCCAACATAAGGGCACAGAATCTCCATTGGTCTTTAATCAGATGTTTGACAAGTCTCGTTCAAAGCTTTTTTTTTTTTTTTACTGTTGTGCTTCAAATCGCTATCTTGCTGCATAATCCAGTTGTAGTTCAGTTTTGTAACACTTTCTAAAGCAATTTCATTGCTTCTGTTTCTTTCTTTTTTTTTTTGTCTTTTTTTCCCCTTCTCCGTTACCTCTGTTTCTGCTCTGTTCACAAATGTCTTTATATTTGGGCAAGTGTGCTGTTTGTTGAGATGGTTGTTTTATGGTGTCGCACAGATCTTTTAAATTTCTTTAATAGATAAGGCATTATGTCCTATTTGTCTCTGTGTCGCCCTGCGTTGGACTGGCGATCTGTCCAGGGTGTAACCCGCCTCTCGCCCGTAGACAGCTGGAGATAGACATCAGTACCTCTCGTGACCCCAGCTGGAATAAAGCGTGTCAGAAAATGGATGGATGGAAGGTATGGCATCAATTAGTTTTGATGTGAAACTGAATTTGGCTCTCTAATGTGTAGGCAGAAGGTGTGAGGAGTAGTCATCTTTTCACACAGGACCAAATTTTGTTTGATTGTGTTTTTTTTTTTTTACTTTCAATCATCGATCGAAAACAGTTTTTTACATTGACTCATTTGAGTTTTGATACCAAAAAGAAAAAAAAAGAGCTCTTTACTGAGGTTAATACTTTTTACATGATTATATTCGCTGTAAATTGCACCCTATTACTCTACAACCTCTAAAATGCATTTTGTTTGTGTTAAAAAGGGTAAAGTCCAACAGTTCACCAGATTTTCTTTTAAAGATCTCATCTTCTGAATTATATGTTTTCAGCAAATTAGTGTCTGGAAATAACCTGTTTGGAGCTTAAAAGCTTTTTCAAATTTTTTGTGTTTTTCATAGACTCAGTTAAATTGCAAAATATTCAGGGCTAACCAATTAAAAATCAGCAGGGTCCGAATAAAGAAAACCATCAACCAGTAAAGGTCCAAAAAAATTTTCAATAAAAACAAAAAATAAAATTTTCCATTTCCATTTTAAAATCTAATGTGCTTTTTGAAGTAGAGAACAACAATCGTTCAGTTTGTTGTATAGACAGTTTCCTGATTCACATATTTTATAAAACACCCGAACTGACTGATTTCTTTTTATGGCTTAATGAGAGCAGTGGGCTTTTTGCTGCCCTGCAAGGTTTTTAAACCTGGGTTTGAATGGCGACAAAGCTTTTCTGAAGCACATATCAAGGTGCTCATTCGTCAGCCTGGATCGATATTTATTTTTGATTGTGGTCATGGTGGAGAATCCTGCTTCACAGCAGCAGGTTGAGCCAAACACTCAAAATGTGCAGGGTCATCTTTGAGCACACCATTTCACTTTTCTTTTACCAGTTCACCGCAGTTCTTCCAGAAGTCCAAACTTTCTCTGTTCTTTTTCTCATCGTCTTCTCCTGCTTTCCAATCGCCCAGCTTACCACAGGTTTGCCTTCTGTGTCTAAAAGTAGCAGAAGCAGCAGTGACCCATACTAACAGCTCATTCGCTAATTTGTATCATCTGCAGCCTGGTGCCGGACGCTCCGGTGGGCTTTACCATATTAACAGGAGAAGCGGCGCAAGTGAAGTTGAACACTGTCGTCAGACAACATGTGGTAATTTATAAATGTTTTAAATCTGGTTGGGTCTGGATTAGCCAGCAGTTGGGTCCTCTGCCCTAATATGTCTTTGAAAATGTACCTCTATAGATGTGTAAACAATCCATGAACAGTAATCATAGCACAATTCTTTTCTTTTCTTTCTCAATTCTTTTTAGCCAATATCAGTACAAATAAAATATCAACAGACGCCATGAGATGCTAAAAAAACCATAGGCATTAAAGCTCTTGCTGTCCCTTTTTCAAAGATAAAATAATGGATTTCAGCAAAACAAATGCGATAGCAGAAGCTAGACGTATAACCTCCTGTGCTGCTATGTTTATTTTGCTTTGGCTATGGGCTGGGCAGCTCTTGTTTTTGTCACAGCCTTAAACCATATTACTACAATGTGGTTCGCTCATCTGTTTTGGTGAACAATCTAAGCTGGAGGCATACAAGATAGATTTTTCATTTGTGAACTCCCAAATAGTGCATGAATTCAGCACAAAATAACGGTTAGTTAGTTAGTAATTTAATTACAGAAGAAGAAAAAAAGACAAAGGGGCCTAGTCACGTACTATGGCTTTAGCAAAACTACAATATAATACATATTCATCTTTAGCCATAACAATATATGCTAAGATATGATTCTGACCATGTTTACTTAGTCCTTTTTGAGACTAAAATGATTTTTGCACCAGAAAACAAGTAGTAGAATTAAACATTGAGATCTGCTGGCAGTACTTATTTACACCTCCTTTACCTTGGCAGCTTCTGCAGCGTTATCCCTTGCTTCAATGAACACCAATTTCATATTGGATTTTGAGCACTTTTAAATCTAATTGTATCTTATCCAACTTAGCATCCAGTATCTTTTTCTTTTTACACATTTGCAGAGTTGATCTTATACTTTTCCTCTTTCTTTTGGCTCCTCCTCTGGAAATACAGACTTCCTTGTCTATGCCTCTGGTCGCCAGGACTTGTTACAGTAAATATACAAATTGAACACAACAAACCTGCAACCAGACTGGGCTAGTTGCATAAAACTGTGTAAAATCATAGTACTGTATGTGACCAGGCACTTAAAATATTTAGTTTAATCTGAAAATGTAAACTAATGTCTCCATCCATTGATCCATTGATCATATTTTGATCTTTTAGCAACCTCTGTCTTGTGTTTGGAAAAACATAAGAAGGAAAACATATCTGAAAAAGTGACAATGTATCCTGGAACAAATGCATCAAAGTGACGATCTGAAATACTATCAGAATTTAATAAAAAAAAAGAAAAAGAAAAAAAAAGAAAAAACATTACAGGGGAAATATTTGTTTTATAACTATTTTTGTTCTATCATTATTTACATGTTTAATCTAAATCTTCGACTAAAGCACCATTGGTACTTTTTCTAATGTTACTAGCATTACTTTACATATATGATTATGTTTGTTGTGTTTTATAAAAGAAGAACAGAATCGGCCACCTTTAAACTGAAATACCATGAGGTCAAAAAAACAAAAGCTGACTTTAATAGGCCTTTAACGTTCTATCAATTTTTCTGTCTGATGGAGAAACACCCAGGCGCCCCACACTGAAAGCTGTATATTTCCCTGCTTTAAATGCAGACCCCCTGCTTACAGTGGAATGACAGCAAATGTGAGTTTGAGTGTGTTTAGGAAAAGTGAGGCTGTACCCAGTGAACCCATCCAAATGGGTGACCCCTCTTGGAGCTCCTTGTGCAAATGAAACCTTCCCGTATATTGAGTGGATACCCCTGGTGCTCTGCACCCGGCCCGATCAATACTCATCATGTAAGACATATTTCAAAGAGATAGCCCTCTCACACTGGGTCATGGAAAGCAAGGAGAGAGATTCATCCATTATCTACTGATTTCTGTGACTTGTGTTATGTGACGGAATCCTGATGGAGAGGGATGCCCCTCTGGAAGCGATTGTGTTTAGTCATGTTTTACAATTCCTCTGCCAAAATAATCACTGCACTGTTATTTATTATTTTAAGCATCGATAAACAAGGACCTCAATTAGAGCTATATTCATTTGTGAGTTTTTGTGTCTCATCTTTTGTAGCTGCAGAGTGTCTGGAGTAGCTATTGTAACCTGGGAACAAGCCGTACAGTTAAATGGAGTGCACGCTTCACTGGCCATGTGTGTCAACGCTGCCTGGTTGGAAGATCTCACTCTACGCAGCCATCTCTGCTGCAACAAATACACAAATATAACCCACAGACGTGCACGCGCGTTGGACGGGGGCCAAGACAAACCCACTGCATAACAGCGCCATTGCAAACAACTCCACACAAAGGCAGATGAATGCAGATTAACCCTGCCTGCAGCACTGTACA